ATGGATGGATGGATGGATGGATGGATGGATGGATGGATGGATGGATGGATGAATGCTTTAAGGCAGGGTATACATTTCACAGCTATTAGAGAAAGGAGGAAAAATACAGTGACCTGCTAATCTGGCCTGGAGGGTTTTAAACTAGAAAGCAAAGGGGCAGGAGGCATAGGATCACTGATGGGTCATGAATTGACTAGTAATGGTTGAAATATAGCAAAAAACTGTAGCGTAGGGGAAATCTCTAGTTTAACAAAGAAACCAAGGAAATAGAGGCATAAAAAAGAGAGGTTGAAGAAAAGAAAAGATGTAAGATGACGTAGATGCCCTAAGGCAATTACAACATAATAGGAATTACAGAAATATAGTGGACGAATCCCACCAGTGAATGAATTTAATTGGAATTAAATTAAGACAAACAAACCTGATCTTTGTGGAAATGTTTTTTGTTTATTATTAAAGAGTGCAGAAAACTGGTGGATTTTACAAAACAAAAGATAATGGTAATATGAGCCAGTCTGTGATGCTGACTGTAACTATGAAGTGCCATTTGAGACAAAAGTACTAAGGGCACAGGAAGACAAAATAAAAAAAAAGTGGGGGGGAACCTTGCCTTTTCTCTTTCCTTTGTTTGAGACACTTCCATTTTTGGATTATAATATCATAATGGCAACCTCTAGAAAACCAGCAAAAATGGAGGGTAGGAGAGGATCACTACAGCAACATGCAGAGAGAGGAATTACACCAGATTTACTTCAGAAAATGTTTGAGGAATTAGGCAATAAGTTAGCCAAATAATTTGATGCTAAATTGACAGCTTTTGAAAAAAGAATGGATAAAAGACTTGTAAAGATGAAAGAGGAGATGAAAGAAGTAGTTAAGAAGAAAAACTCTGTAAAACAAGTGTCTGGAGAGGTAAAACAAATTAATGATAAAGTGGAAATTTTGGAGATTAAGACAGAAATTATAGACAGAGAATTGGAAAGAGAACTAAATAATCTGGCACTATTGGAATTGAGAGAGAAGGGATTTTGTTTGAGATTTAGAGCAATCCCAGAGGATTCTGGTGAAGATATTAGAGAAAAGATTATTAAAGTCTTAGCCATTTTTTTTTGGATTGGGATGAGGAGGATACAGAGGCAGAAATTGATAAAGTATATAGAATAAA